TGCGTTTTTTCTAAACTGCACAACATTTCTACTTTGTTGTAAAATCATGTATTTACGCGCTTTTTGCATCCCTGGAACGCGGTACGTTTCTGGCTTTATCATATATGTCCCATTTGATGATCTGTTGCTGTCAGGCTGGACTGAATATTAGGTTAGCATAACTGAAACAAACTTTATTAGGCAGCACCTTTTATGCTCCAAAAACAGCTTACTCTGGTATATAAACATTAGCCGTATGTTGTTCAGCCTTAAACACATCTGCTGTAATTCCACAGGTTGTCTTCCAGTTTTTTTTATTTAGTTTTCACCATGTTGACATTCTGAGAAGCTTTTCTCTCGGTGCTGCAGAGATGCGGCCCCACAGCAGGATGCTGCCACCACTGTGCTTCATCGCATGGATAATGCGCCACAGAAGGCATTCGTTTTTAGACATGTTGAATTTTAAACCCAAAGTTTCTGTTTAGTTCTCAACTTTCTTTGCTCAGCTTTGTCGTTCAGGAGGATGGCCGTTATTCTGTTGGCTGGTCTCACATTTATTTTAATCAAAAAACACTGAGATGGACTTGATTGAGTTATTAGATTACTTTTGATGACATTGGATTGTATTTAGGGGTTTTAGAGTCAGGAGAGGTTTTTAAACTTTGTGTAACACTATTAACATCTGCGGCTGTACGGCAACAAAAGGTGGAAAGAACCCTAATAATGTCTTCTAAAGGACTCTGACGAGCTTCCTTTTATCTTCAGACATTTAGGATGTTTGAAAAGCTGGCCGAGCAAGACAGAGAGCGAGCGCAGAGCGGGAGGAGAAACGAGGCTCCGCGTGTTCCTCCTGCAGCCCAGGAGCTGGAGGTTACCTCTGAGCCCGGCGAGGCAGCGGCGGAGCAAAGCGGCACGGAGCCGCCCCAGATGGAGAGCGCCCCCTCTGATGGAGGAGAAGTTCCCGCTGCAGCAGCCTCAGATGCTCCTGTCAGATCAGAAGATGGCAGCAGCGATGGAGCAGGAGCCCAGGGAGGCGAAGCAGCATCCAGCTGCACAGCAACAGCAGACAAGTGAGTTAGTATTTAATTAGTGAGAAACGGGGGGGTTAAAAAAAAAAAAAAAAAAAACTTCAAGGTGTATTCTTCTGTAATTATTTAAAAATCAATTTAACCGCAGGGTTTCCTCGTACAGTGTGAGTTCACAGCTCAAGATGCATGTTCTCACACTGTGCGACCCAATGTTCTGATGCGATCTACCTGCTCACACTGTACGTCTAAAAAAAAAACGTCGGACTCAGCTCCACAGTGAGATGGCGCTACTCTGACTTGTCTATCCGGAAGCTAAACGAGTAGAAGAGGAATATGAAGCTCACTAGAGAGAAAAGCGCTGCCTTGGCAATTTGTGCAAAAAAAACAATGTATTTAGACAAAGACGTGGCTGAGCAAACATGGCTACTACAGTCTGTCAATTTTACAGAAAGAACTCCATTTCTCTCATTGCACCCCCGCCATGCTTCTGTGTTTACATCTGAGAGGAAGAAGAAGAAGAAGAATCCTTGTTTCCGCACTGAGCCATTTGCCGACAGCCGACTGAAAATCAAACATGTTTGAGTTTCTCCCAACCTTAGGATTCGTGATGGGGAGGTGGTCGTTAGAGGCTGATCGCCTCTCATTACACCCTGTATACTAAACCACAAAATCGAAAAATTCTCACACGACTGGAAAGTCGGCCTGAAAAGGGCAAAAAATCGTACAGTTTGAGACCAGCTTTAGGAGTATGGAGAGCCGTTTTATTCAAAATTAAATACAATAAAAGCATCTTTTTTCATACATATTCTGTAAAATAAATACATGTCTCCTTTAAATAGGGCAAATGGAACTTTAAAAATGCATTTTAATTTTGCATTAATT